AGCTCTGCCATCCATGGAATACTACCTAAAGCCTGTAGGTGACAGACACTCTAGAAAGACAGACAGCAGCCAGGATGTGAGCTGGAGAGACAAAGGCCTCTTCTCCCTATGTGGGAGAGATGAACAATGGATTAGTTGAATGGAGAGGTAAACATGACTTCACTTTGCCCTTCTCCTTTCTCTCTAGGTCTTTGTCAGTTTCTCTGATGATTTTCACGATTTCCAGATACTAAAGAACAGTTAGGAAGCAAGGCTCTTTATAGAATGAGAGGCAGAATATGATCCTTGGTTCCCAAAGGACAGACATTTCTGCTTAGTTAAAAGCCTTGTTCCTATTCCTAGGGCTCATTCCCTTATTTCTGTTTTCTATGCCTAGTTATCCCCAACTTTCTCCAGCAGCATAGAGATGAGGGACTTTCGGGCTATAGAGCTGTGGTTCTCAACCTGTGAGCTGCAATCTCCTTGGGGTTGCATATCAGTTATCCTGCTTATCAGATATTTACATTGCAATCTGTAACAGTAGCAGAATTACAGTTATGAAGTAACAGTGAAGTTTTATGGTTGGGTGTCACCACAACACAAGGAAGTGTACTAAAGGGTCACAGCGTTAGGAAGATTGAAAATCATTGCTGTTGAGTATCAGGTCATGGTGATGAATATGAGAAGCAGATTCCTCCCTGGGTTAACTTGCAGCACTGTGATATTCTAGTGCCCACTGGCAAACTGGGGAAGCAAAAACAGTGGGCATATGGATAGATACAGGGGAGATCCCCATGATCTCTGGGCGGTATTCCTTCCATTCACAGACAAAGTGTTTCCCCAAGGAACCTGGGAATTAGAAGAGGAAGTGTGTAACACCCAGGGGAGCTGAAACAAAAGCAGAGCAAGAAAAGAAACTTCCCTGCAGGTGCTGTCACAAAAGGAACATTCCTTCTGGGAAGCAGAGCTCTCTGGAAATGGGGTTTCCTTGGCCAGAGGGAACAAGTCAGAATTCTCAGAAATAGTCACAAAACAAGCGGCTTGGGATCATGACAATTTGTGATAACGACATTAATTATGAAAAAGGAAATGGAAGCCGTTAGAAAATTCCCAAGAATAGGTTATGCAGGGACAGAAGGAAGACAGTTACAGACTTTTAACACATGGGCAACACTCTTCCATGGTTCCCCAAACAGCCCATGAAGCTTGTGGGTCCAAAGTCCTTTGTGTCACATTTGGTGATACAGGTATTTGTAGAGTTTGGGTACATGTTTGATACCACCCAAGGATTTTCTTTCAATGGCCATCCAGAGAAGGCTTCCTTCATTAAACAAAGACACCACATGTAGGGATGGAGTTAGTGTGGTCAGAAGAGGGTTTTGTGGTCCTCAAAGGAAGAATACATTCTAACCCTTGAATTAAAAATGGGAAAACTCTCTGACCCATTCCTGAAGTGAGAATCTCAGAAGTGGGGCATGAAAGGTACCTCAGCTATCAGGGAAGTTGCAATACTTAGGAACAACTTGTAGCCCATTGCAAGCCCAGATTTAACACTTTAGAGAACCCGAGCCAATGACATTGGAGACTGCGTTGCAGTTGCCAAACATTGTGCAACTTCTTATGGGTTTGGAATGAAGAATAGAAGTAGGCCTAGAGCAAAATGAGCTGAGTTGGGAGAGGGGAAATAGATTCAGAATGTAAAAAGTAGGGCTCTTTGATGGGCTGAAGGACTGACACATGGAAAATGTAATGCATTATTGACAAACACGTATGCTGGCTGCAAAAATAATTAACACAAGCAGAAAAGAAACAGGAATGAAATGGACCAGAAAGACTTTGAAAGATTGTGAAGTGGCCGCTAAAATTGCCAAGCTAATGTCAGAGAGATGATTGAAATTTTCCAATAGAATAGGTGAATAGGTACTTAGGAGGGTGTGATGTAAACCAAAGGAGAGGGGATCATTATATGAATCTGCACAGAGGTACCAATCAGCGTTTTATGTGCAACTTTGCAGTGCACATTTTAGCAGATGGAGGAAGCTCTTAAAAGCTGATAGCTAAACCAAGTCTGCCTGCTTTTCTGCTCCATAATAGCCATCTCTGGAATGGGCACTTGTTCCATGCATAAGCAGTCTCCAGAAATATCAATATGCTCACAAAGGAAAAAGATACCTCCAAAAACATAGGACCAAGGGAGGGAAGGGAGGAATGCTTTGGTCTAAGCGTAAACCTAGATGTCTGGTACTTGTTAGACTTGCTGGAGACTTAGCAACCAAAACTCAAAGTGAAGGTTGAGTGACAGCAAGGAGCAATTCTTCTGCAGGCTGAACTGTACCCATGCAGGCAGGCTAGCTGATACACATTCTTGCAGAAACTGTATTGCTGCAATAACAAAAACAATTAGATGCCGGATTGTGGGTATGCTAAGGGAAAATAATTCTTCATGATCAGAATGACTTTTTCGCTCATTCAACAGAAAAAGACTCTTATTTTTTATTTGTTGGCAAAGCCAAATTAGAAAAAATATATATCTTTACGACCATAGGAGACAAATGAGTGATACCAAATATCACTAAAAATGCTATTAATCTACAAGTGATATAAAATTACCATCTCAGCACAAAGAAAGCCTATATAATCTGAATTTCCCTAGGATCGTAAAAACGAATGGGAAGCGAAATTGAGAGTAAGTATGCTTTTGAGATGCAGTTAAGGGTTCCATGCATTGTTAACAAATGTGGCTAGACAGCATGGTGATTTACCTCGAATAGAGACAGAAAACTTCCAAATGGGCCCAAACCATCCTCCCAGGAGTGTCTAATGACACCTTGGAGGACATTATTCTCCTTCCTTCGATATTTAAATGTAGCTGATTAGCTATTGACTTTATGGGTTGTTTCCCTCTGTTTTTAGCTGATCATTTTCTGTGTATTCCAGAAGCCAAAAGTAGCTCTGGGTGGGGTGAGGATTCATCAAGGACTCAAATGAGGATGCTCTTCTTTGTGTACCAGGTGTCTGAATGACCCATGAGGAACACAGAGGATGGTTGGCTCTGTCACGGAGGAACCATCTCCACATCGGAATAAAGTCCACTTTCAGTTAATACCATCATTTTGCACTCTGGCCAGAGGATCGGGATAGCAGTCCCTTGCCAGGCTGTTTCCACAGGCCTCCAGAAGAGGGTGATGATTCAGCCAGTGTCTGATAGGAAGTGGTGACTCTGGGATATTGAGAATATGAGAACCAATGATGATATGGAGGGGGAAGGAGAGAGTGGGGTAATAGTAAGAGAGAGAAAGAGAAATAGTAGGAGGATGTAAGCAAGTGTTTGTACTTTTCCCTATTTTTTATAAAAAAAACAAGGCAAGATAAGGGAAAACAGAGAACCCATCACCACTACCAGTAATAATACTAAAGAAAATATAGAAAGGGGCGTGCATGTGACTGTTTTTCCAGGGGTATTATGGGAATGGAACAATGAAGTTACTGGGAAAGCTTGTCAAGGTATTCACTGCGGCCTCTGACTGTTTACTGCTAACCAGGGAAAGATGCAAGGGCTGGCTGACTTCAGCAGCTTTCTCTGTGTAGCTTTGTAGACCAGGTTGGCCTTGAACTCACAGCCTGCCTCTGCCTCCCCAGGGCTGGGATTAAAGGCGTGTGCCACCATCCACCATCTCCAGTGGTAGTACACTCTTAAGAAACAACAGTTGAAAAACACAGATGCCAGATAAGATAAGAAAGGGGAAATTTGTCTTGAATGAGTGAAGAGACCAGAGCATCATAAAGTTCCTAACACTGGCACATTGCAACACCAAGGCACTGGTGTGGTGCCTCATTCCTATGATTCTGCCACTCCCAGTGCAGAGCCGGGAAGATCACCTTCAATTTGAGACAAGCTTGGTCTCAGACAGTAAATTCCAGACCAGACTCTGTATCAAAAGAGAAAACACACACACACAAAAAAAAATGAGACAAACAGGAAAAGCTTCAGTTTAGTTTAGAATAATTTTTAGGTTATAAATTAATTGGAGCATTTCTCCTTTCCTCCTCCCGTCAAACATGTTTCAAATACTCTTCCTGTTCCCCTTCAAATTTATGGCCTCTTTTTTAAGTAATTGCTCTTGCATGCATATAAATCTGTTCATGTATATGAACTCCTTAATATAACTTTGCAGTCTGTATAATGCTACTTGATACAATTTTTCAGGGCTGGACAACCAATTGGGGTTCTCTTCCCTGGAGAAGGCCCTCTCTCCTGTTCCCAGCTTTCCTCGGTTGTCTGTAGATCTTTGTGTAGGGTTGAGGTCTTGTGGGCTTTTCTCCTTCCAGTTTGACATGCCATTGGTGTCATCCTTGTTCAGCTCACATTTGGGCAGTCATATTTTTCGGATATAACTGTAGCTCTCACCACTTTGTAGCAGAAGAAAGCCACTACAGAAAAGCACAGCCAATCAAAATGCAGAGTTATGGGGCCCAGTAACAGGTCCTTACTGCCTGTCCCTCACCATACCTGTCCTGGAGGTAGGGAGCTCTGCAGTTAGAGGCAGAGTGAGAATGAGTGGACCCTTGTCACTGAAGGCAAGTGTAGGTTAGGATGTTTAAGGTGGGCCACCAGAAGTTGTTATCGGGATCCAGGTGGATGTGGTGAGACTTTTCCACAGTCCTCACTACCATAGTGAGTTAATGTTCTTCTGTCCCTTTCCAGGGGTAGCTTCAGTCTTCTGCTGAAGACACACAGGGTTTACAAAACATCCATCTGTCAGCCTCCCCACCTCACCTAAGTCACTTTACTTCTAGTTGGCTCTGGACAAATTATAAAAGAGAAGTTGCCATTTCAGGGTACCCCCTTTCCTTACAGCACATTTTGTTCTTGGCAAAGAACTGAAGGGACATTCACAAATAAGACCATCATATAACAAATCTAAACTCAAAAAGTTTTCTAATCTACTGATAATAAATTTCCACGTTTTGGTTGATCTTGTTGGAGAAACGACTGAATTGTGTTTCTGTCTTTTCTCTAGAAAATATTACCAAATTGCCATATGAAGATTCAATGAGAAAGAAAAATAAAGAGGCAAAAGTATAGAAGCAAAGGATTGTAGTGACATGGTCCCTACCACTTCCCAGAAGCCAGAAGAGATCTCTTCATCCCTCAGGCAACCCAGTGCTGTGGAATTTGTTCTTGGTAAAGATGGGTAAGCAATCTCCCTTGTAAAACAAAATACTTACAGACTATGTAACCTGTCCTGTACCATAGTGACTGAACCTAGATCAAAAAATTGTAAAACAAAGTACCAAGATTTTAAGGAGCTAAAACTATGGGATTCAAAGACTTAGCAGTGAAGGTGCTGTGCTGGAGAATTCCCTCAAATAAACCAGGAGGCAGCCATGTCCATGACATCCATGGCGTGAGCACAATGGCTTTTGATCGTTTGCCAGCTATAGGATTTGTGACCTTAACTTTCTTAGCAGTCCTGGTCTCCTCATTGATGGCAATGAGTGCGTGTGATACTACTTAGCTTTGCAGGATATGGAAGCTCCTAGCACTGTGCCCTATGTATGGTACTTAATAAATGTGATTTCCTTCCTGTACTTTTACAATATGGGCTCCTGCATTTTTTCAGACAGTTTTCTATGGTGCCTTTCATCTTTACAAAATGGTCCATTTGTGTAACTTGAGTTCCTGCTGGAACCCAAGAGACCCCATTGTTTTTAAACCCTTTCTAATTCCTGACTTTAGTTTTATCTTCTTCACTCATAGGCCCAACCTACTTCTGCCTGCTTTGTGGGGTGTTGACACCCACCCTTGGAACAAATGAACTGGCAATGTTAGGTCATCTCTTTGCATAGCTTTTGATGCTCAAGCTTCCTAGAAAGACTGGTTGCATAACTCTTAGAGGAAATCTGAAGCATCGTGATACATAATTCAACTTTATACCTCACTGAGGCTTCCCTACGCAATGAGCATTTCTAATTTTGGCAACAACTGTAGGCAGAAGTCACGTCCTTAGCATATCCAGTGGCCTGTGCCAAAGCTCCCGTGTGGATCAGGTGGCCAACACTTGGGTGTTCTAGGTCCTTCCCTCTTGAATGGGATTATTCAGGCTTTAAAATTTTCTGATACCCAGAAACCTGTTCTCCCTGACCTACTAAAACATACTCATCTCTTGGCTGGTAAATGTACCAGATTCTATTTATTCATTTTTAAATTAATTTTCTGCTTCTGGAAAGCAAAAGTTGGGGAAGTGAAGCCCAAGGAGCTAGGATCCTGGATTTAAATGAATTGATTAAAAGGCAGCAATTGCATTTCAGATTCTTGACCTCACTCATAGTGAAATAGTTGCTTCCAAAGATGAAAAGAGATGATTAAAAGTCAATGATGAGGCTTGTTGGAGTGTGACAGTAATAATGTGGGTCCAATAATTACCAGCAATGTCCTCTGCATGCAAAGAGACAGGGTAGCAATCGATGAAACCTTCACCTCTATAGACTGAAGGGACAGAAAGAGGTGTTCCTAGTAGTTAGCCTTGAGCAACCACGGCATGTGGAATTAGTTTAGTAACTGGAGTTCTTTGAGGAGAGATGCTAGCTAAATTTTCTAGCAGTTTCTTATTGATAAATGGGACACAAAGTATACCTTTTTATTTTCTATGGGATGTGTACTGAATTTTCTTGACTTCTAGCAAGACCAGTTTTCATTAAGACTACACAAAAATCATCATCCACTCTCAGGGCATGGTGGTGCATGCCTGTAATCCAAACTCTTGGGAATGCGGAAGGGTCAAGAGTTCAAGAACAGCTTTAGCTATGTAGCAGATCAGATTGGTGCTTGTGAAATCCTGTCTCAAAAAAACAAAAAAAAACAAAATCAAAACAAAAAAACAGCAACAACACGTGCATAGAAAATCACTGATTGATGACTAGGACATATTCTCATAAGAAAAACCATCCTTGCTGTGACTATAGAAATTAATATATTAAAAACAACTTGGAAACTGAAGCAATATAAATAATATAACATAATGCAGTAATTGATAGAAGAACCCAGGCTTAAGTTGTTGATGAGACTGGACTGTGAAAAGCCAGCACTCAGACCAGCTTCTATGACATGAATGTATCCACTTCAGATTCCTGTGCTGGAAACTCAGTTCCCAATACAACAGTGCTGAGAGATGGGCCTTGTGTTGCATGTGATGCAGGCTCTACTGGGTTTGCAGACATGAATTTCCTCTCTTCTACCTTATAAGACTGCTACATCCTTCATTTCCAAAGGTCTCAGTACTCCTAGCACCATCTTGGCAACAGAAAGCCCAAGCCATAACCTGCTGCTGATCTTGGACTGCCTAGCCTCCAAAACTAGAAGGAATTAATCCTGTCCTCTGTAAATGCTATGCTACTGTGTATTCTGCTTGACCAACATGAAATAGACTAAGCCATCCGCATTAGCTTCCAGGAGTTCTGATGTCCACTGAAAGCCAAGACACAGAGTAATATTTGTGCATTACATTGGAATAAACTGGAGGGGATTTGAGGTAGAAACATTTATAACATTTTCTTTCAGTTTTATTAGAATAACAGAAAATAAAATATAGAGTATTAGCAATGGATATTAAATATTGAATTTATATAAAAGCTCAAATAATTTTTGCCCCAAAAATTTAATGGAGAAGTTGATCTTGCTTCTATGCACATAACTAATACTAAGTTTTATGTCTGAAATGGCTGCAAGCAAGTCTTGATCAAGTCTTTTTAATGATCTCTTCAAATTCTTGATAGTCACTATTGATGAGAAACTTTGTTCATACAGGTAGGTGATAAAAAGTTTAAAACCATTTTTTACAGCCTTTCAAAAATTTACAACAGTTGAAATTATCTTAAAGGAATCAAGGAGCTCTTTTATATTTCTTTGACTGAGGCAAATGTTAGAATTTCTTGTGGTGATGAGAATGGGTTTTAATCCAGTCCAACTTTCACATTCCAAGTATCTTAGCAGCAAAGCACCTGGACATGCAGTATGTATCTGTGATGTTAGAAGCTTTGTTCTGCTACTGACATGGAGTCCATTAAAAGTGCACACCTACTGCAAAGGGTTGTCAGTGTGAGGTATTTATATGTGAAGGGAAAGGCACAGGCTGCTTTGTGAGATTGCCTTGCAGGAGTCCTACCTGGCCTCCTTGCTTCTCCATTTCCCACCTTGTAGTTCCAGGCTAGACCAGACCTGTACTAGTTCAGCATCTCTGAAGACTCTACCCACATGGGCAGCAGTGGACTAGGCAGTTTACTCTTGAAATGGATGACAACGAGTACCTCCTTTTTTAATGCACAAGTTCATGGGGGGAGCGGTATGTGCATGTCTGATAGATGTGCACATTTGTGTGGGAGTGTGAAGACAAGAGGTCATCACAGAGTGTCTTTCTGCAAAGCTTCTTGGTCTTATTTTTTGAGACAGGGCTCTGGTTGAACCTGTAGCTTGCTGATTCAGTTAGGTTGGCTAGCCGATGAGCTTCAGGGATCCGCCTAGCTTTCACTCTTGTCCTAACCCTAGCATTGACATTACAGTTATGCCGCTGCAGTGCCTGACTTTGACCTTGGTCTAGGGACCCCACTAAGGCATCAAAACAAAAGATATGCACCATCTAGCCCCATGGAGCACACTACACTAGTGAGAGACACAAAAAAAGAGTTCAATAAATGAACAGAAAATGTGAGAAGGATTATGAAGAAAATGATAAGGAGCTGAGATGGAGAAAAAGGTATTTGCATTAGGTGAAGTAATTAGTGAGACTGCTCTCATAGAGGTGCTGTAATGTTAGAAATGATAATATACTTAGGCATAAAACCAGGATAACAATGTGGTCTTCATTGGATTGCAATGAGGTTTAATTAGACAACGCATATAAAACATTTGATTTAGTGCTTGACATAAAAGATAACTTCAATAAATATTTATTATTATCTCTTCCATTCTGAACTGGATTTGACATATAGATTTATTTCATAGTGTTTAGTAAACAGTACTTACCATATGGCTTTGTATGTGCCTTGTCATATGGATGGAATAGGAGGTGTCCCTGAAGGCTTATGCATTTAGACTTGGTCTCCAGTTGATGGATCTGTTCTTGAGGGGTGATTAGATCACAAGGGCTCTGTACTAAACTGGATTAGCTCACTGGTTTGGTGGCATTATTGGAAGTAGGGTCTAGACAGAAGAAGTAAGCCACTGGAGCAGGTCTTGGGGGCTATATTTTGCTCTGGGCTCCTTTCTGTGTATCTTTGTCTGCATCCTGTTTGCCAGGAGGTGAGCTGCTTCACTCTGCTTCCAACATGATGCTCTGCATAACCTCAGGTCCCCAGCAATGGAACGGGCTGACCATGTGCTGAAACCTCTAGAAACATAAGTCCAAACAGATCTTGTCTCCTTTAAGTTGCTTCTCACAGGTGGTCACCACAGTGATGAATGCTAACACAACATAGTAGGGCTTCAGCAAAAGCATGATGCTGATGAGTTATGAGAAGACTGTGGTCGCCTGGTACCCCTCCCATCTAAGCTCTCTGGCAGCGCTGGAAGAGCTTAAAATTGTCCTCTTGGGCTCCAACATGTAATAGCAAGTTATACATCACCCTCTGGACCCCAGAGTGAGTCCCCATAGGATAATATTGTTCCAGGCAGAAATCAAGGGAAACTTGGTGCTGATTTGTGCTGTGGTTGCTTGTAGTATAAACAGAAACCGCAGGGCTGTCCACTCAGCACTTCTTTCCAGGCTAGGAGAAAAATGCATTTTCTTTTTAAGAAGAAAGATGGAAGAAGGGCACTTTCAGTGCAGGCTGCAGCTCTTTATAACATAAACTGCTCAGCCCAGGGGAACTGAAATGGATGAAGTGTATGCAAAGTCAGATAATGAATGGAATTTGGGCAAAAAAAAGAGAGATGATAAAAGCAATTGGTTGTCTTTATTTTTGTATCCATAGTGATATTTGCTGGACTTCAACTGATCAGTTGCCTCACTTACACTGGCACTGAGCATTTAGGGGAGAAGGTCTCAGTAACTCTGCAGCCTCAGTAACTCTGATGGGGTAAGATAAAATGTCCATTGAATGGAATTGTTGGAAACTCTAGGATCACTTTTTATTATACACAACAGTAAACGTAGCACATTTTTGGTCATATCTGTAAAGCTGGCATATGCTTTCTATTATCTCTGACAGTATGTTAGTCCCATTATTAATAAGGGGAAGGAACACAGGCTAAGTGGGGAATGGTCCAAGTCTGAACCTGGGCTGTCACTTGCAGATGCAGGCCAGCCATTTGTGTTGTACGGTCTCCCTAATAAGTGTGCCATGATAGAGTTACTAGCATGTTGTGAACTAGTGAACAATTAGCTCTTGAGGTCTGGGGAAATCTAAAGTTCTGAGGTGTCTGTCAGTCTGAGACTGTTGTTCAGACAACCTGCCCCACAGTCCCTGCAATCTGCAATGCCCCAGGCACAATCAAGAAGGAACACGCAGATGGGAAGATGCCTTATTAGATAAAGTGTAAGCAGAGGCTGGGAGTGAATTAATAAAACTGACCTGAAGAAGTTAAACGATTTTACAAGGTCATAGAGCTAATGAATGACAGAGTTGACAGGCAGTGTCCGCCATTGACACTAAGCTCACACTAAGCTTGAAGAACCCTTTTAAATATGCATAAATATGGCTCAGGACTCTATGTATAGGCATAGGTGCCAATGCAGGGCATTCAGGAGCTGTTCCCTGAGAGAAAACGCCTGTCATCAGCTGCTGTCTGGAACTACATTCTGCTTTATGACTGTAAATCCTAGCTGGAGATGCTGAGATTCCTCTCAGACATAGCAGATGGTACCTTCTTACTCATCTTTGGGCCTCTCTCCTCCATGTGCCTCTGCCTCCCAGTGTCACTCACACCAGCCTGTGCGTCACTTTCTCCAGCATAAGACATGGAGGGGACTGGAAAGATGATGCCATAGACTGCTTGAGCTAGCGTATGAGCTGAAGCCAGGAAGGCCCATTCATGATCCAAACTCCACCCATTATCCTATTTTGTTCCAAGAGCTCTATAGCCACATTGCAATATTTCCCATTGATATTGGACTGCTTTGTAAAAAAAAAAAAAAGAACGAATTGGTGAGGGAATTGGCTGTTGGGCTTTTCCCTGAGCTGAGGGGACCAAACATAGGGCCTAGCCCTTCAGTAAGAGGAGACACTCAACACATATTTATTGCAAAAGTGTCTGATTGACTGGGTGAAAATAAAAAGTGTTCCTCCATTAGCAGCGCGACTTTCACTAAGTTCCTTCTGTGAGAAAATTTCAGTGGGAAGCCGTGACTCACTGTGCTGTAAATATCACTGGTCTCTTGGGCAGCGTTCAGTGAGCACACTGAAATTGTAGCACCTTTTTACTCCTTTGGAGGCAGGGTAGAGATTTCCCAGAGACAGCAAGACTCCCTGAAGACAACCACTGTTTCAGTATTCATAAGCCAGCAAAAGTATAAAATTTCTAAATGATACCCACAAAAATTATTTTAAATAGAAAAATAATAGAATGTAGAATTGACTGTCACATACTAAGGAAGGGTGCCATACAATGTGGCCCTCTGTGTCCTGGAGAGGGACTCTCCGAATTGAGTGGATTTGATTCATTTCCTACTTACAGGTCATGGGGTATTAGAGAACGTTTGTCAGAATTGCTATCTCCTGGCCATTCCTATGCAGCTCTTGGGTTTTCTGTAAGATACCACTATGTGAAGAGGAAGGGAGATGGCTTTCTCGGTGGCTGGGAAAGCATCCTGGTGTATTCACAGCTGAGGTTTCCACACCTTTCTTAGTCTCCCCTCCGCACTGCACCCCCTTCCTCCCTCTCTTCCCTCTCCCTTCTTCTTTCTTCCCGTCTCTTCCCCTTCCTTTCTGCACATACTCAGTTCTCTTTTCCAAGCGCGCGTGTGTGTGTGTGCTCGCGCGCTAGGTAGTGCATGCACTGGTGTGCTCACATCGAGTCAAGGGGAGGACATTAGGTATCCTCTTCTGTTTCTCTCCTTATTCCTCCGAAAATGAGTTTATCACCCAACCTGGAACTAGGCTGGTGACGAGCAAATTCTTTCAATGCTTCTGTCTCCACCCCACCGCCACAGCATGTGAATTGCAGATACGTGAATAGTCACACTCAGCTTTACGTGTTTGCTGAGGGTTCAAGCTCAAGTATCATGCTTGCAGGCAAGCACTCTTCCCAATGAGCAATTTCTTCAGCCCCATCCACTTCTGAAAACAATATATATAATTGGCACTGTTGTTGTGAGCATGTGGATTTTCCTTCAGAAGTGACACACTGGAATTTCATGGATATGTTTTCTTCCAGTAGAGCCGGGATATATGTTGGGATAAATATGCAGTTGAAGAGATTTCCCCCAGAATCATCAAGTCAATTTCATGGGTGTTGACAGTAGAAATTGGACCAGTTAGACTTTTGAGACATGTGCATACAGTAACTGCAACATCTCTGTGGCTTCAACATCAAGCACATCAGCATCTCACATTTATTTGTTTGTTTGTTTTCATTCCACCCTGTTTCATCCTCTTGCCAAGTCCTTCCATGTGCTTCAGGGAGTTCCTAAGAACTGTCCCATTTCCTCACACACCAGCCCCATTTCTCCTGCTCCAAAATTCTTCCTGGAGACAGACTGGTGGAAAAGCTCACAGTAGCAACTTTTGGTGATGCCATACAGGGATGCAGTGTTTTTAACAAAGATAATGTCTCCCTATATCACCAGTCTTCAAGAGCCAGAATGGGAGCTCCAGTTCTCCACATCTACATCTCCCCCTTTCCCTCCTGCCTCTCAAAATCACACAAAACAAACAAGTGAAGAAATCACCACCACCGCCACCACCACACCACACCACACCACACCACACCACTACACCACACCATACCACACCACACCACACCACACCATACCACACGACCATACCACACCACACCACACCACACCACACCACCACACCACACCACCACTAATACCAATTTCCCCTTGAAAAGAGTGTCTATGGTGGAAAGTGATTCAGACAAGACAGCTACACAAGAGTCACAGCTGCTCTGTCTTGTTCCATAAGCAGCCAAATTCTACCCCATGCTCAGCAGGAGCATCATAGAGTTATGGAAATAAAGAAGATGTCTCCTCATTGCCCTAGCTGGGCCCCTGGCCACCTCAACATCGCCCTCACTCACTGTTCTTTATACACGTGGTGTATGGACCACCCCCTGCCTCCTTCCCTTGCTCATCACCAGTTCTACCCATCCACTAACCACAGCTGCAGGAATGTTGAACATCACTAGCCAACCCCAAACTCAGTAGCTTAAAAGAGTAATCATTTCTTCGTCTTCACAAATCTGTTTTTATCTGATATAGCCTCAAGGCAACTGGACTCAGCTCCAGGCTAGAGAACAGGCACAAATGCGGTCCCGGCACATCTTCTTCACCTTGGAATACCAGGATGACCATGACACTGTCTTCCCATGGCAGACAGAAGCACACGTGCAGGTTCTGTAAGTACCCTGCCTACTAACAATTTACCAGGCAAAACCTGTTATATAGCCATGTCCATCATCACTGAAGGAGGGAGACACATGCCCCAGAAATAGGTACAGGGGCTAGAACAGCTGAGAAACAATTAGGTGCTACGAAGCTCAAATCTAAACTTCCATGATTGGTAACATGCTGTCAGACGTGGTCAGGATTTCATCCTTGCCTCGAATCGTGGGACCATGTGTACAAATATCTCACATCAAAGCACTACCAGTTGGCTTCTTGGGCAGCTCCCAGATGACTGCCTTTGAAACAGACCCGACTTGCTCAGTGAGGGACCCCAGTTTCCAGATAACTCACCCTCACTCTTAAAAGAATCGTGTTCTCTTGTCCTGCCTTGTGTTCTCCAGTCTGGATTGCCAGGAGGTCCTCTCTTCTTATCCCCTCCCATGCAACCCCGTTCAAACTTCTCCGTGTCCCATAATGCTTCTGGAGAAGTCTCTGATGGCTTTGTGAGATGGCTTCCTTTCTCTAAAGGAAGAAAAACCCAGAGCTATTCTTTCTTGGTGACTTTGTACTTCTGTGGACAGACGTTTTGCATGCGTGTGTTAAGTGGGCTTGTGCATGTTTGCAATTTCTAATGGTGGGACAGGGCTAACTGACAGTGAAGACGCACACTACGTGTGTGTGCCCTTCCTTGCAGGTGAGGAAGATCACAGCAGAATGTGGGAGGCCCTTTGTCTCTGTTATTCTGTACTGCTTTAGATCTGAAACAGTCACGTAGAAACGTTCTTTCACGAGGACAATGACACTGCTTTTAGCCGCATGTTTAATTCTTTAAAGTCAATATTTGCAGAAAACATAGGCACAGCATGATGTTGCCTTGGAGTTGTTGATTAATCCCTTTCAGAAGCTTCCCCCCATTTTAAGTTTCCTTTCTATTTTCAGCTTGTCATTAGCTCTGTAATGGGGTGTGTGCCTGTTTCTGTGAGTACATTACCGTATTTCCCCAAAGTCTGCTAAGAACTACAGTGAGTCTTTACTCTGGATTAGTGATGCAATCCTCCTGGTTCCCATCCTGTTCCACAGTTAGTAAGCATGGCCAGGAATGACTTCACTTAGCATCCTTGGGAAGCAAACAAACAGATACCTAAGAGAAGCAGATACGAAGCTGATGTGCTCTCTGAGACACGGCTTACGGAGTTAAGGCATCACCGTGAACCAAGTAAATGGGTTCTTTAACACCATTTCATATCAAAAGCAAGTAGGATTGTGGACACAAGGAATTAAATTAGTGTTACTCTGTGGACTGGTGGGGCGGGGGAATTTTTTTGGGACTCCCTGCCTGAGAAAAGGCTGGCCAGCAGGAATCTTCTTTTCCTGATTCCTTTCTCTCTACCCCACCATAGTTTTGAAATGGCAGCCACCGGAATCAGAAACGCTGACTTTATAAGAGAAAAAGGAAAGATTTCCCAGATTCCAAACCACTTCCCACTCTTCCTTTTTAGAGCTTTAGACAAATTTTAATCACAAATCCACTGAGCCATTGAGTTTTGCAACCTGTCCATTACAGTATGATATCATTTTCATTTTTCTGTTTATATGATTGCCTGTGTAGCCTGCAGACCTTCTGAGACATTTAGCATTGGCTTCCTTCAAACTTTATGGCTTTACTCAATTTTATTTTCATTTTCAAAAATGTAGTGTCTGGGTGTCTTAGCTTGGGGTCATTAAGTGCCAAGAAATTGGCTGAGTCAAGAAGCTCATAGAATGTAGGGCAATTATAGCCTCTTTGGAAGCTGAAAAGGATCTGAGTTAAGGTCATTCCACAAGTCTTGTGTTAAATCCAAATTCCATTAAGTTTTGGGAAGCCTGTTTGCTAGGCAAGATACAAAACATAAGTTGCAAGAAACATTAAAGAAGCCTAGAAGTCACACAGACTTCTCTGGGCAGCGGTCTTTATCAGATTTCTGTATGTTACCAGAAGTCAAAGCAACAAATGTCCATTGAGTCTTGAGCCCTCTTTCCTCCCAGCGCAGGACATGAAGCCCAGGGACCTCACAGCAGACTTGTTTCTTCTGTGCCAGCAAATATGCCAATGTCCCCAGTGGCTTCCTTTACAGCCGTGTGATCGTCTGTGTATTATTAACTAACCGCAAATTAAAGTCATTACTTGGTGCTTAATTTTATGTAACATTTCTTTGTAATGTGTACAAAAGAAATTTATTTTTAAAAGGAGTTTGGTAAATAGCATGTGCCATGATTAATTAGACAATATAATAGGTCTGCTGATTTGAAATTAAATTCAACACAACAGTTTTCTTAAATACAATTTCTTAAGTGACATTTCTAGGTGTGTGAGTCTTTGAAAGGGAAGAAAGGAGAGGAAGAGGAGGAGAGAGGAAGCAGAGGATGAGGAGGAGAGGAAGGGATGAGAGGAAGAGGAGGAGAGGAAGAGGAGGAGAAAGAACAAGAAGAAGAAGAAGAGAAGGGGAAGAGGATGGAGGAGGGCCCCGTCCTTGATGGCCTTGTCTCCTATTTATCTTGTTGGGCTCTAACCCATTTGAAGACTAATTTTTCTTAAATGTGTAAGCATTCTACAAAACAGAACCAACATGGGGCTGGAGAGATGACTCAGAGGTTAAGAGGAGCCAGGTTCAATTCCCAACAGCCACATGGTGGCTCACAGCCGTCTATAATGAGATTTGGTGCCCTCGTTTGGTTCTTCAAGCAGAACACTACATACGAAATAAATAAGTAAACTGTAAAAAAACTAAACAACATAAAGTTGCATGGGTAGGAAGGTTCTTGGAAGAGTTGAGGGAGTAGGAAAAGATGATCAAAATATATTGTATGAAAATTTTTAAAATAAAAATATATTTTAAAAGGCTGTTTGAAACCCATTTTATATCAAGGAAGAGTATACATAAATAAATTAACAGAGAGGCAGACCCAGCACTTAGGTCATTTGACTAGCTCTTCCCCACAAGCCACACATGCAAGCTCCTTCCTTTCTCCTTACATTCCAAGTGAATTCCCAAGCACACCCACAGCCTTTTCCTTCTGCTTGAGTGTCTTCACATGGCTCAAATCTGACTCTTCAGGTCATACAGTTTAAGAAAGTTCCTTCCACTTTGGGAACCCATTCCCCATAGAGGGATACTCTCTCAGCCTAGACACATGGGGGAGGGCCTAGGCCCTGTCCCAAATGATACGACAGACTTTGATGATCCTCCATGGAAAGCCTCACCCTCCCTGGGGAACAGCCTGGGTCTGTATATGTTCCTCTGTCTTCTTCTATGAAATTCAATGTTCCTCTGCAGTAGACATTTGTCCCCTTGTCATTCTTATCTCCAGCACCAGTGACAGAGTTTGGATGTCAGGCCTGAGTCTGCAGGCATGAAGTTTCAGCTACTCAGGGGACCTCGGCAGGAGGATGACAAGTCTGAGGCCTTCAAGGCCTCCACAAGAGCTCAAGGATGACTGAATAAGACCCTAACTCAAGAGTTAAAAAGTAAACATAGAGAACATAGCTTAATGATAAAGAACTTTGTCATGCATGAGGCCTTAGGTTCAATTGCCAGGATAGAAAGAAAATCAAATAAATAGAAAAGAACAATGGCTGGTACAAGCAGCCTTAATGACCTCTGTGAAATGAATCAGTGGGTTGCATCTCTCATAAGCCAATCCCTGACTATGCTTTTAATGGAAAACAAAACACATTTGGCTTTTATATTTTTCTTAAAGGCATATGAAAAGTTATTTTTTATTTAATGGATAGATGCATGATGCCTTACAAAAAACAAAAAATTAAAATGTGAACAACTTAGAGGGAGAGAAGGGCAAGAAGTTAAGTGATAATTAATTGTATTTGGTGAGAATGTCAAACACATGCAGACAAGAGAAATCTTCATATCAGCCTGCGCCTTCTGCTTTGTGAGCCAGCACCCAGCTGATCTGGCCCAGTCTTTGTCATTGGAATAAGTCACTGTCTTTTCCAATGATAAGCAAAGAAGTCTGATGATTCATTCAGCCTTCATCTAAACCCGTATTTGTGCCATCAGTAAAGTATCTGATGGTATAGAGAACGGAGAAAGAGTTAGATGAGATGGTTTCAGTGATCCACAAAGTACTCTGGTCAAGGGTTACGGTTTAGGAAGTCTATATCTCCATGCTCCACATCATGTAGTGTGTCTGTCCTTTCTCACATTGCGATGCAGTTCTGTGCCTGTGAACTCAGCGTTAGGTCTTCCTCAAACCAACAGGAATGGGGTGAGCAGAAGTAACAGGATGCATTCCTCAGTTTTGAGTCAGGTCTGGAAATTGCTTTTAATTTCTTTTTAAATGACGTGTGTAAATGTGTGTCTGGGTGGGAGTGTGTGGATGTGAGTGAAGTTACTCATGGATGCCAGCAGAGCCCATGGAACTGGAGTTGTAGGGGTTGGGAGCCACCCTTGTGGGCGCTGGGGACTGGGCTTGGGTGCTCTGCAGGAACGCCAAGTGCTCTTCAGCACTGTGCCCCTTCTCCACCCCCTGTTTTCTGATTTTGTTAATGCTTTTAAACTGACAGAAGTCTGGGTGGCCCAGTGTGCAGAGCGGCAGTTTCCATGTGTTCTTAACTGTCTCTGCATTGTCTAACTGTAAACGTGGGCATCGACAAATGTGGTCTAAATGAAACTGTATGGATGAGACGAAAATCTCTCTTTTCATGCAGGTTGTACTTTCACATTTTACTATTGTATTTCAAGGTATAATCGAGAGGGTCATAAACACATATTCTAGGCTATGAGGCAAATGAATCAGGATTTATTTTCCTCTGGTGTTTTGTATTTGTTACATTTAGAATTTGCTCTGCTATACTACAGGGATGGCTTTGTTCCCCCTTTGCATTTGCCTACCCACACAACCTAATACAGCTTATTTTTAAAAGGCCATGTGTTTCTCATTAGCTAGGGATGCCAATTGCATCTCACATGAACTCTTCATGTACAATCAGAATTTTTCTAACTAACAAACAGTT